ATATTTCACCATATTAGACATAATTTTTGTCAGTGTTTTGCCTATTTTCTTCACTAGTAGCAACTATTTATCAGAAAATATGTCTATTTATTATGCATGCAAGCTAATCAATATCAGTTATATTCTAAAAACAATATAACCCTTATGATCATTAATCTGTACCCTATTCTATGAGTTTAAGAAAAAAACTTTGTATATATTGTTCTTAAGAAAACATTTTAACTAAGATTTTATGTCAGTAACATTAACCATATCTAATAATCCATGTCTCACAGTGGTACTGTTTTTTTATATTAAATAAGATTTTTTAAATTACATCTTGTCAGATTTATAGTTATGTTTGGGCATGCTGGAACTGTCCTATGTGAGCCCATTGAGAGGTGAAATAATTCTAACTGAGGGCACAAAAACTCATCCCCAGAACCTTCTGACTGGGTCATTCAGCAAGAGTTCACTACTTATGAGAATACAAGTTATCTCATTGTTTAAATTATTCTTTCCCCAAACATTCTCAGAGTCCTTACTTTGTGTATAGCTTTCTGCTGTCACCTTCTTTAGAACACTTCAAAAAGTACTTTACAATTTTGAAGTATCATCCAATAGTTCATGCACGTATGTTATTTCATCAAATGTCCCACAATATTCCATGAGAGAGATAGTTCAGGTGTTGTTATCCCAATGAAGTTACTTCTCCAGGGTCTCAGGACTATTCAGAAAGCCATGATCCATGGCTAGAAATTCAGGTCACCTAATTCTAAGCCTACCACTCTATAAAAGACCAAGGAAATGAGGAATACTTATATCTAAAATAAAACTAAGTACTTATTAAAAAAAAAACCCTGTTATTGTAGCTATGGAAAACATTGATAACCAGTTGGTGAGGCAATGAATACCAATTAAAGAAATACGCCTCTTGGTTAAGAGTGCAATTATAGTGCCCTTTAACAGATAACATTTATCAAACACTTACTGTATACTGCTATAGGCTTTATTTTCATTATCACACTGAAACTTTATAGAAGCTCTGAGCAGAGGAGCAATTTTCCCAAGTTCAATATCTAATAGGTGGTAGCACAAGGATTCACACAATTCTGTACTGTTCCCTGTGTAGATTCTATATATCTATGCTTTACCTTCTTTTTTCCACTGCCTTCCTCTATAGTCTCTTCTATTTTTCCTTCCTCATTTCTTTGTGGAAATAAGAAAAGGGTGGGAAGAGGTATTGTCAGCCACCAAGGAAAGATGCTATTAATATATGCATTAACTTCCTTAATGATCATCAGCCACATGACTTTCTGGCTTGGTGGTGGGAATACACACAGTGGACCTTGAAGAACACCTTCTCAATTAGTGAGTGCTACTTCAGAGACATGAGCCAGGTGACATTGCAACATGACAGGGGCATGTCCAAGGGGGTCAAGAAGGAGTCCAGCAAGTTTTTACCAACAGGATGGCCTTTGAGTTGTGCCTGAATGTCTGCAGTCAAAGAAGAGAGAATTGTGTGACTAAACAAAAAGCTGTGCGAGAAACAGAGCCATTGGAAGAATTCCTAAATACAGGCAGCTAGGAAGTTGATGTTAGAGAATGCATAGGATTCATTTGGAGGAGGTAGAATGAAGCTCTAAAAAACCTTGTATGTCAAAATAACGACTCGACTCTTTCTTAAAGGCAATAAGAATCAGCAGACACTGAACAGAAAAGATAAATGAGCTTTCAGGTCTTAAGAACATAATTGACAGTGTTATGGTGGATGAGCAGGACATTTGGTCAAAATAAATGCTGCTAAAGGAAAGGATTTGAAGAGAAAGACAGCATTTTCCTGTTTTATTTAAAAGTTGTAAATAAAAGGATAATCTAGCAGCTGTCCTAATGAGATTATGTGACCAGGAAATGTAAATGACATAGACATGTTGCTGTTCTCACAGTCTCTTTCTTAAAAAGCATTAATTCACTTATGACTCACATTTAACTTCCTCTAGGTGGGGGGTATGCCATGCTAAGTGTTGGAGCACTGTATTGGGTAGGCATTGGTTATGGGGAAGTTCATTTGAAGCAACAGATAGCAGGAATTATTTATAAAGGCAAAGAAAGCAGAGAGAGAAAAAGACAGAAAGTAAAGCAAGTGTCAAAGTAAACAAGAAAAAAGAGACTAACTCCTAAGAGATAAAAAGGAGAAATTAGTTTTAGGTTTAAGAAACCAAGCATCTGCTGTAAGTAACCATTTCATTAAAAGAGCACTAAATTGCAGTGGTTCTCTCTCAGGAACTGCATACTGTGGGCTGAGATTAAGGATAATGGGCTCCCACATGAATTCTTCTCATTACTTCTCTTGAAAGAACAGTAAATCTACTGAAAGGGTAATTTAGGTTTAGTGTTCACAAACCATTCGTTTTACTTTTAATCTTCTCTGTTTAGGATTTGAAAAATATGATGCAGATATAATCCAAAGGACAGGCCAAAATTAGATGATTTTTAACTCCTCAACAGTCTTTTAATTGACAAATATGGGAAAGGCTTAGAGTTTTGCTCCTTATAGATGTGGACAGTGCTTTGGCCAGTTTAGATAGCACTGCACGCTAATTGCAGGAACCAAGTAAAGGACAGCAAGGAAAAGATAATTTATTCCTTGCCCACCTGAATTCTTTGGACTTTTATGTGATTTTTAACTAAGTCTCTTCTTCATCCCATTAAATATCACCTTACATGTAATTCCGGAGAAAGGAAAAGGTTTGAGGGCTTTTTCTCAAAACAAAAAGAAACAAATTATCTTTCCCTTCTCATGATCATAATGTATACCCAAAATGTACCAGTAAACAATGAATAAAAAAATGAAAGAAATTATCAGGGAAGAAAAAGTTGGTGAAATGAAAAATCAATTATTTAACTGTAAGAATATAATTTTACAAAACAATTTTTAAATATGACCCTGAACAATGATTTATAATTGGTACATTTTATGTTGCCAAATTGCTACCAGCATGGTTTGTGGTACTATATTAAAAACAAGCAAAAGACTATAACAAAACAAAGAAAAAGCAGGCAGTCTTTTATTCAGATATTGTTATTGAAAAAAATCAAACTGCCCTCAATTTTCTGTGGCCTTTCTTGTTCTTTCCTATTACACAAAGGTCCCATTCTGGGTCAATAATGTGCACACTGGTTCCTGGTTAATTTAACTGAGTGCTCCATTAAATGAGCTCCTCAGTAATCTTAGGGGAAGAAACTAAGATGTTCCTATACTACACATTATGGTAAATATACAGAAGCCCATTCAAACAGTATTGAATTATGCTGATTTGAAACCGATTATTTATGTTTACAGGGTTTTTTCTCCATAAAAGAGAAACGATTTTTAGTTTTCTTTTTCAGATTTGAAAGTGAGCAAGTAGTCTAATGAAAATGAGAAGATGATTTGTTTTAGAATCTGAGAGTAAAAATGTGTCCTAAGGAAATTAGCAGTGTACAACATTCATTGGACAAATATCACATTCCTTGAAATAATTGTTATGACATTTTAATGGAATCTCACCATGAAACATTTCCTTGTAAATGACTAAACTGGACCATGTCTTAACAATTATTTCATGAGAGAAAACTTCAATGACCTTAGAAAGTTCCAATCAAAAGACTAACAGGAAGGGTAAAACATTGAATGCCAGCAAGCAGTAGTCTTAACATAACATATAATAAAGTAATTCATTAAAAGAAAAATATACTGTTTGGTAAAAAAATCTCACAATATCTTCACATCCTTTCCATAATACTAAGAAAAAAGAATAATCCAAAGGATTTCTAGAAATGAAATTTGTTTTCATAATTTTCATAAAACCCATTGGTCATTTCAACATAAAAGGCAAACAGTGAAATTCTTAAATAATTGTCAGGTACTGCCCTCTAAGAACATATTATATTTTTAAGGTAATTCACTTTAATTTCATCAAAAACTAAAAGATATCTAATCTGGGGCTATTCTCTATGACTTTCATTGAACATTTTTCATGTGCTTACTGTTGGAGAAAAGGTTTTATTAATTTGAAGATATTTCAAGCTGCATACATCTTCCCTCATTCAAATCAATTGTTCTTGGATTGTAACATGAAAAGTGAGAGGTTACTACTTTATCTTTATAAAAAAATACCTCATGGGTTATTATAAATACCAGATCTTCATATGATCCCAGTAAATCTGTTTTCTGATAGAGACAACAAAAGTTGTGAGTAATGAAAGGTTTGTATCAGTCATTCTAAAGCCATCACTGATCCCATGAACAAAAACAACTAAAAGACACCCTGGCTCGTATTTATTGATCTCCCTAACTGCAGTATTATTTAACTGGGTTTTAATCATCTCGATACCTAAATGAATCAGGTGTTTTTGGCCTCCTTTGTGTTTGGTAACATTAACAGAGATTTAAGCTGACTTGCTTCCTGATGATGGTGGTTATGGGAGGAAATTATCTTTGTTAAATAAAGACATGTGGCTTTGGGACCAGCAGTCTTTCACCTGAACACTGTCTCATTCTGTTGCCCACAGTGTACTTACAAAAGGAACCATTCAATGAGAGCCACAAGAGATAATCTTTTGACAGCTACCTTCTCATAATTAATTTCCCACAAGTTGCTTTTCCTTTCAGTACAATTTTCTTGCCACAAAAATAAGCCTGTCTCTGAATAGCAAAGCAGTCATTTTTGGCTTTACTGATTATTTTTCCCATAATTTTAGAAATATGAGTTTGTTTGTGTATATTTAAATATTTCTTAACTATCTTAGCTGCTAAATCATTATATGCAATAGTAAATGTTCAAACTCTTTATTAGCATTTGTTAAAAACATAACTTCCATGTATTCTTTAAGAGAGGTCATGTTTGATATCTGAATTGTTATCATATAATGTAAGGCCAAAAATGGGCCCTTGACTGAATATGCAAAGTTCCCCCTTAAACCACCTTGAACTAGGCAGATTTTCAACATTTTAAACTGGCACTTCATCCCTCTTTCAGCAAGCATCCTCTGCAGATTTAATGATCAGGAACATCCTTCTGATGCATGCTGGGAGATATGGCTGCAGGGTACAGACCACAGCAGACAGTGTGTCAGATGAGGCAGAACTTCTTGTTAGGGGTGAGTATGCTAATAGTGCAGTCTGAAGACATGATCACCATAAATTATCATACAAAGGAATTTAAATGCATGGACTTTGAGCACATCAACACTGTGCATTTTACTTTTAATTTTACAATATATGTCATTTTTGCTTAACCTTTTGCCTTTGAAAACATTACCTGAAAACTGTTCCTTAGTAACAGACAAAATCAACAGATCCAACTTCAGGGTCCAAAACACGTTTAGTAATAAGTGGACACTAAGTGATAACCAACAATACCAAGCAGTAACTCAAAACAGGAGAGTTACTTAGACTCTTGAACTATAGAGATACAATTTATTTGTTTATGTGTTTTTCAAGTGCAAAGCTAGTGGAACCCCAAGGCATTTTTTTCCCTTCCACTAACTGCTAAATCCAGCTACCAAAACAAGAAAACTATTTGTATGATGATGACATTTACAATTGTTAAGTGACAGGGATGTTTGAAAAGGTTAAAAATCTTAACACAGAGATTCCAAACAGACATAGCAGTTAAGTGGTTATCAATTATGAGCCAGACCACCAAATTCTGCAGTTGTACAAAGCTACATCTTATTGTAATTAGGCAAATAACTAAAGCATCCATTTCCTTCAGCACAGTATTTTCCAGTATGAAAAATGGAGATCCTAACATGCATTTCCCTTCCTTCCTTTTTTCCTTCCTCTGTCCTTTTCTTCATTTCTTTCTTCTTTTTTTATTCTCCCTTCCCTCCTCCTTTTTCTTTCAGCTTTTAATTAAATAAAAATATTACCTACAGGCATTTTCTAAAATCAAATGTGTGCAGGTACACAATAAATATTTGTGAATGAATATATAGCAACAAAATCAACACATCATATAAGTACCATATAAGTCAAGAATTAGAATATTACCAGAATCCTACCTGTATCTCCCTTTTTGATCTTCTATATTATGAATGATGAGTTTTGTATGCTTGGACCCCTTATACTGTGTCTACAAGTACAAGTAAAAAACAATTACAAGCAAGTAATCATACTTTAGATTAACTCATCTTTTATCCACTTGAAATGTTTTACCATTATAATTTTAAAGAAATCATTATTATAAAAATCTTGTACAATAAAAATATATGGCATATAGTGAGGTCCCTCATCTCTTTGTTTTAGAGGTACCTATCAGCAAATGTTTATTGATGTTTTGGTAATGCATCCATTATTAGTTCACATAAAATGTTTTAAATGAAGTATGTATTGAGTGAGTAACATCTTATTATTTTTTGTGTTTGTGTCTGTTTAGAAGACTGATCTTCTATCCAAATTTATATCAAGAATGTGTACTGTATTTCCTTATTATAAAACACCAGCTTTTTAAAGCAGTCATCCTCCCATACATTCCATTCCAGTTAGCTAAAAATTTCCCTTTGGGCCCTCTGAAGTTACAAGGCTCATGGACCTGCAAACTCTACACTGCAGTCAGATTTACAGAAAATGGCTTTCTTTGCTTGCTCTTGTCTACCTTAGATTATGACTATTTATGGTGTGCACTTGCCTAGTAATTTAGAATGATGCTTCTAAAATTGGAGCTTTCCAAATGAATACTACAATTTAGAGACTGATAACAAGAAACCAGGTATTTTTCGGGACTACAAGGAGCAAATTTAAGTGGCAAACTAACATTCTACTTTGTAAGTAAAATTAAACTCAACAGGATTTGGAACATAATTCAGGTTCAACTTTTTCATGTTCTGCTCTTTTAGCCTTTGGCTTCATGCCCAGGAGATGATAAAATGCATAAATTTTGGAATTATACCCAATATCAATTTTGAACGGGTTGCTATTGTCTGAATATTCATGTAGCGTTCAGCACAAGCTTTCTCTTGAAGTGAGCTTGACCAAGTCGCCAATTTTTTATCATATATTTGTATTACTTTTCTAAAATTAGGAAAAGGGCCAGGGATGTAGCTCAGTGGTTCTGCTGCCTGCCTCTAAAATTAGGAAAAATAACTTGCATCTTCTGCCTGGTTCATCTTAGATAGATTGAAAAACAGAACTAAGGATTCTGGTTTTTATTATTATTATTATCCTTATTATTTTCATTATTACTATTATTATTATTAATGCAAACAGTTCCTGGTAATGGAAGGAACTTGATGTTTTCATATTGCTGTGTTTAATGTTGACTGTATAAATTACAATTCTAAATAGTTTTATATTCTTCCAGGCTCTTTTATTATTTATTATTTTATTATTATTTATTACTTTTTTATTTGCTGGTGTGTAAACGCAGGGCATTCCTCTAGTACAGGCCATACACCCAAAACTGAGCACTCTAAATGTGGCTTTTCTAATGACATAATTCTGCAGAAGAATTCTCAAAACATACTTATTCAAATGTGTGTCACAGAAAAGGGGCAAAAGTAAGGACAGTTTCACCACCTATCTACTTGTAGATTACCATCTCTGGATTGGCTGAGCAGTGCATTTCACTCACTGTTTATCATACTTGGAGCACAATTTGGTAGCAGAGAATACATTCCTGTAATTCTATTTCAGTGGGGAGTTAGGGGAAAAATTTATATTCTCCTAGATGAATCAAATCTCTTTTTATTGTCTTATTTACCATTAAAGATAGTCTAAAAATTATTATGTGCATCTTACCAAATTTTGTACTTCTTTACCTAGATTTACCAACACACTAAATCAGAGTTCAGATGTGGGACTCCATGATGTCTCCATCACTTCTATAGAACTTGAGTATTCCTGAATAATAGGGCTTCTTGCTACTTTACCCAGTCATTATTTTATGGGTTATCTTTCCCTCAAATGCTTGTTTGTACTTTTGCTTTATTTTGCTTATGGATGTCAGTGCTATTATTTGCTTCTATTCCACTATTATCATTCTTACACAAAAATTGAATTTTTCATAATCATCTGAAGCATAAAATTACTTGCTCTCTCACATGTTTAATATTCAGTGAACCAGCATTATCATAACACCATGAATAATCTGAAAAACCACAATAGAGGTGATGAATACCCTAGAAGAAATTATTGTGCTAGATTATAAAAGGAAACTAAAGCTACCTCTAAGCATCAGTGAGTGATTTTACTCACTTAAGTTGGCTATAACAATAGAGAAGGTGAGGCTACACAGTCTTAAAAGGAACATCTTTAAAGATGGATAGAACTCTATCATTTTATCCAGGGAAAAAAGACCATTAAGAGATAACCTCACTGAAGGAGATATACACTTTATAAAGAAGTGATACTTCCAAGCAATAGGAGAGTGATCAAAGATAATATAAAAGACTCCAGAGAAAGATGTATTTGGTTTTTGTTATTTTATATTATTTTACAGAAATCAATGTTAAATTTTCAAAGCAAATATAAGGGTAGGAAACTCACAGTTCAAAGAATAAAATGTGCTTAGCTAAGCCAGGATAACTGGGAGCCAGACCTTGAATTATTTTTATTCTGCTCAAAAACAAGAGGAAGTAATTAAAAATCTACTATTCATACAATGTTTTAATCATATTTCTCTTATTCTTAATGCAAAGCCAAAGGTCAAGAAACTGAAAGTAATCAAAGAATCAGTAATTTCTTGGTTTCTTCTGAATGCACCATCTCCTCTCTAATTTGAACAACAATTTTTATTCTTTGAACCCAATTTGCAAGATAAATCCAACATATATTTAATTGAATCTCACTGAATTTGAAAAGAATGGATCTTCTTCAAGATATAACTTGTTGGGTGACATCTAACTGCTCTTAACCATCTACTTCCAAATCTCCCACCCCATTATTTCATATTCCCACCAGGATTCAACCTGTCTTTCAATCTAATTTCCTTACCTTTCTAGTCAATTCACTCCCATTTATTCTTTCCAAGAAACTTTCCTTGAATATTCTTAATCTTTCCCACACCCGCTGATGCATGTACTATCATTCCCCCCAAAAAAGGAAAACTAACGATCTGAGAAAATGTATTTCTAATACATTGTTAATCGATTTGAGAAGTAAAGCAACAGCAGTATGCTCTGTGCATCTCTCACAGCACTTACTCTTGTGACCCATGAATATTTTAAATTGATATGCTTATTTTTAGCCGCTGGCCACTGAAAGTTTCCAGGTTTTAAAAATTCACAAGTTGGGAAGGGTGGAGCCACAGCTTGCACGCGCAGGTGCACAAAATGAGGAGGAGCTCTGTAATAATCTGAGGTAGGGGCAAAAAAAACAAACAAAAAATGAACAAGTATTTACACGAGTGTCTGTAGAAGATAGTGTTTTTATAGTTTTTCTTTCCATCATTGATCTAGTATGCAATGAGCTCATTACACTTGCACAGGCCTTCATAGTAAAGATTCAAAAGTTTTAATAAAAAAAATCTAATAATTATGAAAACCAAAGCTGGATTTACCAGTATGTTGATATGTAGAAGACCAAAGGACAATAACTAATGTTTTCAGTGTAAAATTTAATCTTAGTTGATATTAATAGCAAATACATTTGCAAATAATTTGTGATTTATGGCAAAATGTAAGTTACACAGTTAAAATAATTGCCTTTATAACATTTTATTAAACTGTAAAATAGAAGCATTAAGTTCTTCAAGAAAATATGATCTCATTACTGGAATATTCTGCACCATTGTAGAAATATTACATCACTAGTATCATTAGTATTGGACATGATTAAATACTTCATACCAATCACTTGATTTGCTAGCTTAGGCTTCTTCTACTTAGTCAGCTTGACACCTATAAAATTTTTATATACATTAAGGCATTTCCTTTGTTTTACAGTTTTCATGTAGTTACTTGTTAATCTGTGGAACTTTTTAACAAATGACTAAAGGTAAATATTTTGTCAATCAGGTATTTAAATTCACTTCATCACTTTTAGTTTGGCCAATTGAAGTAGTCAATTGAAGTGACCTGAATGGCTAAATAATTGAAATGACAAGTGTCTGGATAAAGGTAACAGTAAGGGACATGGAAAGGGGAGTATGTAATCAAAA